TCTGAGACAGGCATGTATATATATGAATACTGAGGCTGATTCAGGCATGTATATATAGAATACCGAGACTGACTCAGGCATGTATATATATGAATACCGAGGCTGACTCAGGCATGTATATATATGAATACTGAACCCGATTCAGGCATGTATATATATGAATACTGAGCCTCACTTAGGCATGTATATATATGAATACTGAGGCTGACTTTGGCATGTGGGTGTTAACTATTTTGTTTGTTTTTTCTTCCCAACTTAAAGCAGGCTGTATGGTGTAACTAAAGTGATAAAACACACTCTTGTATTATATCAAAAAGACACTTCTAATATAAGATTATATTATATCTTGTATTATATCTAACGGACTTAAGGTATAGATAATTGTTGTTTAATATTTTTCCCGTCTTTTGATTTGGTTTACCCTCTCTTAATACGTTGATTTTGGCAATAAATTGGTCCAATTAAATTAAGAATTTAATACACATATACCCAATTCAGTGTTTATTAAGTTATTAAAGAACAAACAGTAAAATTGCAGACATTATTAACTTCCAACGACAGTATTTTATTTACAAAGGTTTTTTATACTGCTGATTTGAGGAAGAGTGGTAGCGTAGTCACGAAACATTGATATCACGTGGCACGTGCAGCACGGTTTAAAAATGTGATGTATTAAATACAATGGTCATTCTGTTCTTGATAACTTTTATACTAAGCTCAAGAAGTAACCAGATGATTAATTCATTACATTTTACATTTGGTTTATTTTACTTTTTACTCTTGAAAGTTCGCTGACGTTTCTTTACAGTTTCTCTGAGTCCCGTATGGAGTACGTTCGGAGTACAGTTTCTCCAAGTCCCGTATGTAATACGTTCAGAGTACAGTTTCTCCGAGTCCCGTATAGAGTACGTTCAGAGTACAGTTTCTCTGAGTCCCGTATGGTAATACGTTCAGAGTACAGTTTCTCCGAGTCCTGTATAGAGTACGTTCAGAGTACAGTTTCTCTGAGTCCCGTATGTAATACGTTCAGAGTACAGTTTCTCCGAGTCCCGTATAGAGTACGTTCAGAGTACAGTTTCTCCGAGTCCCATATAGAGTACGTTCAGAGTACAGTTTCTCCGAGTCCCGTGTATCGGATTAGATATTAATGAAATGTATATATGTTTTCAGATATTTGGAAAAGGTTCAAGAGGCGATCCAGACACCCGGAATTATGAAGTTGTTTCTACCACTTTGTGAGTTGTTAGTTGTCCTCATTCTTTTGACCACTGGTCAACAGTGCGAGGCTAGAAGACGAGATCATGCACTCAGCACCAGAAAATCTAAAGATCTTCTAAAAGACAAGTAAGTAGCTAGTTGAGGTTTGGTTAGAAAATAATTCCGAAATGTCTTAACTTTTAGTACTTGTAATATCCTACCCATGGCATGCAAGGTAATTATAAGTTTTCTTTTCTAAATTCACAAAATACATAAGCTTAAAGACACGCAGGTCCATGCATGAAATATGGCAATAATACAACCATAGACTGATAAACATCAACGTATTTAACGAACGTTGTGGAATACACGCATTGCATCTTCAGCAAATTCCTACAGTAAATACAAAATTATAACTACCAATAATGATCACAATGCTTATGTACTACGAAAAACATTAGTAAGACAATGTTGTGACTTAAAGGTCGCAGGGGGGATTGTAAAAATCAGTAGGTGAACACACTAAATAACTAAGTAAAGGTACAGCTAAAGAAAGAGAACTTAAACACGTTTAACTTAACAGAAGTTGAGTTACTGTGGGCTCTCTTGAATCAGAAGTTTCAAATATGTCGGGCCCTAAAACTTTAGTCCATGGATAAAATTTGGTGTCCCGTAGTTTCAATGTATTAACCCATATACATGTAGTAGACTAGCACCTATATTGGATAAACAAACTCAGCAAAATTACCCATATACATGTAGTAGACTAGCACCTATATTGGATAAACAAACTCAGCAAAAATTAACCCATATA